GGTAAAAAAATGTACAAATGGATGGAAAAACATCAATCCTTAGAGAAAGAGAAGAAGAAGCTTAATAAAATTAACCTTTATTTACCTTAAGAAAGAATTCCTTGTTTTTTTAGGTTTAAGCAAATGTATTCATCATACTAGCCTTTGTTAAACATAAGCCTTTGGATCAATTTAATTTGAAATGTCTACTTTTTATAAGGTTGAGCTGACGTCTTTTATCTGGTTACAAGCCAAAGCGCCCATTTCATTTACTATAAACAGACAAGCAGCAAAAAAAGACCAATGTGAAAAATTGTTTTTTTATAACTCAGTAAGTCTTATTTAAGGAAAGAGGAAAATATAGTGTTTTATATTCTGCTGCTTATCTCAGCAAGATTCTGACACTAATATATTTGCCATTAATTGAACTTGAATGCCTTTTACAGCAATCTGAAGCAATGATTCAATGAAAGCAGTGATAAGAAGACCTGCCTTATTGTGCAGTCACTTTAATTAACTCTTCTGCACTTGTTAAAACAGCATTGTAATGGGACCTTAATCTCAACACCTTTAGGATATAGGAGTACTAAGAGCATTTTATGTTTTGTATTAGGTATTTCAATAGATCATTACAAGACAAATGTGTGGTGGCCTGATGGTTCAGTGGTTTCCATTGCTCCCTCACAATGCTGGGACCCTAAGTTCAATGTCAGACCTGGGGTGTGATCTGCGTGGAGTTTGTATGTTCTCTTGGTGTCCGTGTGGGTTTCCTACAGGTGTTCCAGTCCAACGGCCTATTGGAAGGTGAACTGACTCCTTGGAAAATTGGCCCTGAGTGTGTGCGTGTTTGTATCTGCGCATGCCCCGCAATGGACTGGCTCCCTGTCCAGGGTGTATGCTTTGCCGAACTTTTTTGCCTCGATTGGCTCCACCTCCCCTGCAACTTGAATTGTAAAAGAAAAAACTGATGGATTTGGGAAATGAATAGAGTACAATAGCAAAACCACATCAATAAGTTCAAGGCAGGAGATGGTTGTATGTAGTGTAACCATATATAAATAAAATATGTTATTTATCATCCATTTGTACATTTAAACTACAGTATATGTAAAAAATACCTATGTTCTGTATTGATAAGTCATTGAAGCCTGCAGTGTTTTCTAACTTTAATATTAATACTTTTTCAATATTTGAATTACAGAAAATATTTTCTTAGTTTTCTTCATTTCAATTGGTTTAATTTATCCTTCAGGTTATTAGCAATTAACACAGTGCTAACAGTAGAATTACTCTGATAAGTCTCCAATCTGATTCAATGAAGCACTCTGTCATAACAGCATTTACTGTCCCATTTATCATTGTGAAAGTCTTTATGAATAGAAGACAAATATAACTGTGACAGTTTCTAAAACGTTTGAGCCATTGTAACATTTAAACTAACACATCATGTGTCTCTAGCAATTTGAGTGAAGGCAGTTATGAAGACTGTCCCTCTGTAGAAGTTAAAAGGACCAGAATCAAGTCTATGCATTCATCAGGCATATAAATACTCTGCACTAAAATAATGAGTCTAATTTAATTAATGGTAAAAGTGATTCTCATAAAAGTGATCAAAATGAAAATGCACAGCTGTCTGAAAATAGCTGTGATCCAATGCATGTTTATCACAGGAATGTCAGTTATTACATAAAATTACAGCATTGTAACAAATTAAGGTCATAATCATACATAAAAAACCAAACCGATATTCAGACTCTGCTAGGAAGTCTCACAATGTAGTTACAGTGCTTACTGCCATTATAATTATTGAAGAACTTTCCTAGTAAATATTCCTTTTAACCTTTCTTCCTATTAATTTCTGTCTACTTTTTTGGATACCTTAATATAATGTAAATAGTATTATACATGCCTGATGGCACCTACAGTTCACATAATAGTGAACACACCCACAGTATCTGGGTGTCTGAAGATAACAATGATACAATGAGAAAAAGATAGCATGGGCTCATCTAATGGCTGGATGAATTAAATATCTCAAAAGAAAAAGCATATTACTTTAAGAACCACTATTAAATAATGCTTTTGGATTCCTGGAAAAGAAGTGAGGCAAATACCTTCTAATGGAAATTCAGATGGGTGTAGGTTTTGGACTGAGGATTAAAGTGCTCTGGTGATGTAGTGCTGAGCCATTACTGAGATAGAATAATTAATTAATCAACATTCATTTAACAGTATGTTCAATGTTTCCATATACCTAATATTGAACCATGCAAACAATGTAAAAAAAACAAAATTGAAGGACGTTCTTCTAGTAATTATGAAGAAAGCTGAAGTCGGTAAATTCAGAAAATTAGTAACTCATATGTTGCCTCTTCATTGTATTTACTGTTCAGATCAGGAGATCTGACATATTATTATATATTATGTACAGTATATAATATACATAATCTAATATATTATGTAGATAATGTGTACATGTCTACATTTTAGTGATATCACTTGATAACACAGCAGGCATAGACAAATTAGCAAATTAGAGCAAGGTCGTCCAATCTTGGTGCTGGAGGGCTGTGTCTTCAAGTGTTTCAGGTCTACTATATTTAAAGCTGTTGCAGCTGAAGAGCTGGATGAAAGTATTAAATCGGTCCACTTAAGACAGCAGTTACCTGATTTAGCTTTTGTTAAGAGCTGAGTTGGAAAGCAACCAAAAGTTGGAAAGACACCCTGAGACTAGGACTGGACAGCACTGTATTAGAGCCTTTAAATTACATCTATGAATTCTTTATAGGCCATAGTATACAGTATTAACAGAGCATTGGCTGAGTGTCAATAACTGACCTCTGCTAATGGTGATATGCACGTTTATTAACAAAAGTCATATTGATCTTAGAAATAATACTACTGCATAATAAATAGCTTGGTTGTAATCTATTCATGATGTTATTTAGAACCTCTAAACTTAAGTGTTAACCTATTTCTTATAGGTTAATAACCTAATTATTTATTCATAACTAAAAAATAAGGAGGCCTATAAACATAGAGAATTACAGTACCATCAAAACATTTTTTTCATTTAACAAATGGATGACACACACTATTAACTACTGTTTCTGAACGATACACAATTTCTGGTTTGTGTATTTGTGCTCATATTTCTTATTTTATCGCATCTTACATATTTTGATTAACTGAAGTAATACAAATCATAGGAAATAAAACAGTTTCAATGTAAAACCTGTTAATAATCTCTGTTTTGAACCATTCCAAGAAGCACCATATTATTCTCACTATCACAAGTAGAACAGGGGTTTTTGTTATTAATTAACAAGTTCAATGATAATAGAATGTCACAAAGTTTAAAACTGTGATAGTTGCAAAGTTGTGATATACTGTATGTAGCCGTTTAACTTCTTATATGTAGAAACTTACAGTATGGAGCAGAATGTTCTTTTAGCAAAAACAGTACGTTTTCCCAAAGGAAACAACTTCAGTTTGAATGTTAAAAACTGGAAGAAGTTTCAGTTTTAGATCTCACACTTGGAAGCAGAAAAACATCTGATGTCCAGATGTTCTTTTATCCCTTGTGAGGACCCAACAGGTCTACCACATATGAATCAGTGTCTGTCTTGCTTTTTTCGTTATTTTATTCTCTGCTTCATCTTAAAATCCTTTCTTAGCTTCTGTAATTGCCTATGTGGTTTTACTCCCTTAATGTTGGTACACTACTTACTCATTGGAGAGAGAAGGTCCTGCAGTAGGCCATGAAAAGATGACAAGGCAAGAAAGAAAAGGGCAATTTCTAATGTTCTTTCCTAATGTTGTAAGCTAGGTATGTACGACATAAAAGAAGAGAAAAGATCCATAATTTATAGAATCCTAGATTAAAGTGAAAACCACAATAAGATTTAGGATGGCTTTCACTGGAATGACATATACAGTGGATAAGTGTATAGTCCTTCAAATATACAGTATGTTTTGTCCTTCTACCTACAATGAAAGTGCAAAAAACAAACCATTAAACAGATAACCACCTGCAACATAATTGGAACATTGTTGTACATTATCAAGACAACTATTTTATTACAGTTTTCTTTACTAGAAAGTAGTAGCCAGCAATTTTCCTCCTCTAATGGTCTTCTCATTCAGGACTTAAGGGCAGCTTTTGTTATTTTCAATCAGAGCACATTTTTTAATTACATGCGAAATTATCTATAGATCACTAATGTTCTTTAATTGGTTTGGCTCCTATTTGACAATGAAGAGTTTGTTGCACTTACTTGGGATGTTCCACAGGGTTCTGTTTTGGGACCTTTACTTTTTAATATTTACATGTTGCCTCTTGGTCAGATAATTTGCCAGATCATTTGGGTTTGGCGGCTAATGACTCAGATATAGTAGACTAAATCACATATTACTGCTATAGTTTCTGTTCTTTCTAGATACAGACAGCTGTTTTTTCATCACCACTACCAACATCATCATCAGCACCAACAGCACAGGACAGCTGTCTTACTAACTTTTTACTAGTGAAACAGATACATATATAGTACATGACGGACAGTACTTGTCTATCCTGGTCACACCTTTTAGGGTTTTTATGTGAAATGGACAAAGCAAGTAGTATTTACATAGCCATTAATGTACAGTACATACAGGTATGGTAACTGACAACCGAAAGGACATTTTACTAAATCTAAACAGCTGGAAAAGGATTTTTGTCCAAGTCATCCTCAAAAAAAATATTCTTAATCGTTTCAACCTTGTATATACAAAAACATCCTTTTCTCATTCATTAATTTATTTGTGCAATGCTGTTAAACCAGCTCTTAAAACCCAAGTATATATTTTGAATATAAATTCCCGACTGGCTTCACTGACTGTCACAACCACTTCCATGAATGTGTGTTATGCATCATTTTAACAAGATGGAAGTCAATTTTTAATGCTGTTCAGTTATTATCAGAGAACATTTTTTGCATGCATGCAGTCTGCTGGTAAAAGTGAAGTGCATTACAACTTACCTCTGAGTTGGTGATGAAAGAGAATTAATACGACTACTGCTGTGGGAAGCTGCCATGCTTTCTGTGTGTAGACCAGTTTAACATAGTACCTAGAACTGAAAAGATTGACACTATCAATGGCAGTGGCATTATTAGAAACTATTGATGCACACACAGCACAAGTCCAAAAGGTGTTTTGTATATCCAAGCTGACTAATTCTGTGCATAAACTTTCCCTGTCACAATCATTTTTCTTGTGTGATTGTAGTTAGCATGCATTCTTTATTTCTTTAACATACAACAGATTTAAATTTAGGATTTAATGTTACAGTTCAAAGACACAAAAAAGAAGAATTTGAGTTCATGTGACCACTGAAGTGTTTCAGCATTAATATTTTTAAGGAGATATTTAACTACTTTTAAAAAATGTTTTCAAAAGTCCTGTGACAAGAGTAAGAGGAGGTTATTTTAGCACCTCAGCTATAACACAGGATGCCAGTTTTAATATACAATATATTAATTATACAGAAAATATACCAGATACTACAAATTCCTGCCACAGACATTTTGTAATACAAAAGTTATTAAAATAAAGTCTCTTCACTGTTCTTCTGAACAACTAATTGGGATTTTTATAAGAACAAATAAATAATTAATAGACCAAAAACATTCACACACAAATATAACATCACAAAATACATAAAAGGGACACAATAATTATTGTTCTGCACACTTATTAGACAATAAAGATAATTATATGGTGCATGATTTACTACTTATAATAAATATTTGATATCAAAATATCTTGTGTAGCCTTTAGAAGAACAGTAATAGAATATACTGTACATGTATTTACTGGAACGGTGATGCCTTATCGTAATCCAGACAAGAACAACCAGTAAATGTTATGAGGTGTTTAGGATAGGCCTTACCACAGCTTATGAATGCTGACAACAGATTGCAAACCAAAATGGCAATATACAGAGTTGTGCTGTCCTGTGATACATACAAGTTATTAAAAGCATAAAAATTTAAACAAGGCATCCACTAATGGCCACTTTAATGCTTTCAAACATTGTGTCTAGCTTTTCAAAAACATGAACTCAGACCTCCTCAAATACTATATGCCTTCAAAGGAATTTCCTTTGGGCCTGGGACAAACCAAGACTTTCTGAGTCTGCAAATGTATAGGTCCTTTGTACTACGTCTTTTGCAAACTACCCAGGATTGTTTTTGTATGTTTATGTAGATGGGAAATTTGGCATAATGTTTTTTTTATTTTAAAAGCTTACATCATCTACCCATTATAAAAAAGCCCAAATGTTTTTAAAAACACTTTCTCAAATTAATTGAATTTATTTTTTAGATTTTTTTTTGTACACAAACACTATGATCATCCTGTTTACAGTAAGTGGACAATAGGAGCCTTCAACATATCTACCCAGATTAATAAGCTATAATGATGTGCCTTAAAATGTGATCATCTACAAGGTGATGACAGCGTGCTGTACTGATAGTGGGGACAAACCACATGCTGCAATTTGAGACACTATAGATTGAAGAGCACAGCCACACCCCTTTAGTATTTACTGTGACTACACAGTGTATGAAGTGAATTCACATAATTTAAGGGTCACTAAAACAACACCCTTATAAAAAACCCTTATAAAACCCTTATAAAAAACAACAGAAATTAATAGTCATATAAGATGAATGACTTCTAAAATGCCAAATTACTGTTCTATACCATAAAACGTGCCCTGATGAGGGTGTTTTTCAGAAGAAGTGATTGATAAGGACTTTCAATCTTCAGGTTCATGAGGAGGTTGAGGCAACTCATATGTGGCGACAAAAAATAAATAAGAATAATGTGAAAAATAGTCTTTTCTAAATATCATATCTGAGGTATTGTGAAATTTATTAGAGGATTAACAAAAATGACTAACCTGTCAATTAGTTCAAAATGTCAGGTAACTAATGGAAAACTAAGGGAATTCATCTGAAAAATAATTAAGCAGACACCATGGCAGCTATTGGCTGTTTGTAAAAATTAACCCCAGCAATGAGGTACAATTAATATATTCCCATTGGACTGCCATGTGCAGCCCAACATTGAGAGGATCCTGTTGTTTGATGTCATCATTAAATCAGTGTATCATCACAGTGCAGATTACATTGCCAGTGTGCAAAGAGGCTTTCTTAACAAGTTGGAAGTCTGTGACAGATCAGGTGAGGACACTATTTTGCAGCTAGTTCAACATTCCGCAGAAAATGCCAGGGTGCACAAGCACTGGAACTGCCAGGCTGACCACTTATCAAAACATGTTCCCTGGGAACGGAAAAGGCTCAGACACAGCTGTTGATGAATTCTCTTTAAGACTTTACCATTCTTTTAATAACAGCCTACAGTATACTGAGACAAATGTTGATCAGATGGTGTGTTACAGAATTTCACTGTACACTTCAGAAATGTGAACAGACATACAGAGAGTCCTACATATAGAGCATGGTTTGAAATAGGGATTTTTCAATGTTTAAAGGTAATTTAAATACTCATTATCCTACTAATTAATTCATTTTCAAATATTATAACCCTATATAGTGGGCAGATGAATAAATACACAGTACTGTATCACCATGTACAGCCGCTATTTAAAATGCAAGCCTTTTTTTAAAATTACCTCTAATAATACAAAATGCTGAGGATTCCCCACATGAGATATACTGAACATCTTCCATGAGGTGTGTCAGGAAGGTCTATTCTTGTTTTTTTCTTCCAGTTCAATTATTAATAAGCCTTTCTTAAATAGTTACAGCAAGTGTCTAACAAGTCAGTGTAATCTTATTTCTTATCTTCTAATTTCTTGGACAACTGCCATTCAATGACTGTACACTTCGAAAAAAGGCTTGACACTCTTAAGTGCCTGTGACTTTTTTCAACATTCTTTATTGATGAGTCCCATTTAGATTATCTCATTTTAAAACCTCAAAAGCATTAGGGATGTGACTTATTCTCATCCATTTAGCTAATGATTCCCTGCAGTGGTGAAACTAAATGATTACTATTTACAGTAAAATATTCAATTAGCATATAGGAGCATAGTAACTAACTTTTCAATTAACAACATAGGGATATAAAACTTTTTGTGTTCTCTTTTGGAATACCTTTTCATTTGGCAAATATACAGTATATAGAGCAAATGAATATATAGTGCAAGAACCAGGCAAGACAATTACAGCACATTCGCAAAATAGTAAAACACTTTAGAAATGTACTGTAACTTATTCAGTATGGATTGTACATTTTATTGGGGGAATATATTTAGATACCATTCATTACCATTTTGGTGACAATTTATTGGAATATTGCTGCATATACAGTACAGTAAGCTTATATACCTTCATAACTGTGAGGCAGGATGTTCTAACAGCATGCACAATGTTTATAGGGATATCCACAAATGACATAACGTGTGTATAAGAGGTCATGACATTTATTTTAGCATTGTTTCTAGCACATGGTGTGATACGCATTCCTGATTGATTGATCAGCCATTTGTATCACAGCAGAATGAATGTCCTGTATATTCAGTTTTGGATGGTTAATTATAGTCTTCATCTGGCAAAATGTCTAGTGAATGAATATACTGTATAGTGCAAGAACCAAGCAAGAACACTTCTAGCATTTTATTGTTCCTATTTCACATAACGCACTCTTGGAATTTACTGTTGCAATCTCTCTTTGCTTCAATAAATACAAACCATCATCTGTCGTTGTTTTTTTGAACACCTCTGTTTACACATATCACAAAATATATTTGTCTGCACTAATCTTTCTTCCATTGTGATAGATAGACGTTCACACACTTTAGATTTACAATAGTGTCAGTCATAATTTTCTTCCTTCTGACTACAATTGGTTTTATGTCCTATTTTAATTTTTCACGTGTTACCTATAGAAGACAAACCTACAGAAGAACTGTAGGTGGAGATCTGCTTGGTGTTTTGGTTATGATTCACTGTTTCAGCTGTGTTGACTGTGCTGTGTCTAGCTAAATGAAATAAAAAATACTGCATGTAAGAAGTCTGAACAAATGGAAATCTACCAGTATCGTAAAATTACTTTTATGAGGGCAAATTACAGTATACTGTATGGTACAGTACATAAATGCCATCTGCTTTGCCTTAACACAATACAAACATCTGGATTTGCAATAACACTCAGAAAGCTTATAACCATATAAAAATGCAAATCATCTTTTCTTTAAGCAAACCCAACAGCAACATTATTTTCCACATACCGTTGTGGAGTAGACATAGTGCTTATGGAGTACTGGAGGCCATTACACTTGGCTGCACTTATCTTTTGAAACCAGTGTCTTGACTTTGTTGACTTAATGTTTTGCAAATGTTGCCAAAATCTATGGTGGGCAAAAATGGTTTTAAAAATAATACTCAGAAAACTATTTTCAATTATATATATACTGTATATATTTGTCCTTTTGAAATTTTATGTGTTTTTCCTGAGTGCAGTGCTGCTTTAAATTATTTTCTTGGTATAGTGGTTTACATTTGATTTTAAAAAGATTAAAATGAATGGCACCCATTAAATCATAGAGGTTAGTTTTCAAAAGACAGCACAATTACAAATAAATCATAAAATATGTAGAAAATAGTAAATAAAATATTTTGCTTATGTATAAATTGTATGATCTGGAATTTAAAAAAACTGATGTGCTTCTGTCAAGCAATTCAGATCTAACAAGAATGACAAGTATTTTCGCAAAAACATCAAACATTATCAAAGAAGATTCATTGTTACAGTTCAAAGTAGTTGCTTTATTGCAGACCTGACAAGGTCTTTATCCTCTCACAGGGATTTGAAGTCTCCTAAACCAGAAAATCATCAGAAGCTAAAATTATTCTGAAAAGCGTTCACACCTTCACTCGGTTCTCGATGATAGAGTGAAATCCTAATAATTCTGTTAATTAATTTATACATTTTTACTTTCCACACTTCCCCTGGAATTTCCATCTGTCAGGAAAATCTCTCATATTTCCATCTCTGTAGTCACCTTTCCCACTCCCTTACCCATCCTCACATCGTCTGGCAGCGTGCCCCTTTGTTTCATATTTCTCTCTCTCCTTCACCCCTATCTTCAGGTGTCGGGGCTCAACAGCCAAAACATTTTTTTCCTTCTACTTTCCAACACAAACCTCTGCCTGTTCCTTTGCAGCCTACACACTGATATAGCTCTCCACTAAAGCCAGTTTTAAATATGACTTCATTTGGTGAGCTTTGAAGTGTGCATCCATTATGATTGCATATGATCAATTGTTTAGGTGGCCTTTTTCTCATCTATGTTACAAATCACAATCAGTCAGATACTGTGCTGCATATCAGAGTAGCTATCAAAGGAAGTTAATTAATTCACTGTAATGTGAAATCTTTAATTGAAAGGCTCCTGAACCAAATACTTTCCAGATAACCTTTCTGGTCTTCCACTTATAAGTCTGGTTACAGTTACATTATAATCTCAGACATTCATACAAATTAATTCTGCATTATGTAGATCCATTAATAATTCTCTTTTATAGGTGACAGATCTGTGGAAGAGCAAATTACTCCAGCTACACAGAAAAAAAAAAACATAATGAATATGTATTTGACTTACTCACCAGTGTTTGCAGCAAAACATTTCAAATGCTGAAAATCATCAAGCTTGTATCGTGTTATGAAACAAAGGATGAAGTGATGTCAGAGTACTGTAGGTCTACTTGCAAAATTACAGTTGTCCTTTAAGAAACTATAGGTTTTATCTTTCTTCCTGCACTCCACCCTGCTGTTTTGCTTTAATTAAAGTGTCTGCTACCCACTATCAAATTACAGCAAAATTCAATCCACTTAGTGGTAAATCAGCAGTCAGATTTCTAAATTCTTGAAGCACTGGTAAACAAATCTTATTTTTCTTCCCTTGAACTTCAAAGCACAATAACCTTGATTTTGGGAGCTTGGAAAAAAAGGACAAACAAAATTCTTCTGTTCACCTTAGTTTGACTTTTTCCTGAAAACTGTAGTAGCTCAAACAACAAGGCTTAATCCAGTATGAAAATTAATGGTTCATATTAATGGGTTTCAAAGCAAATTAAGGTTAAATACTAATAAATAGCCAGGCCCTCATGGTATTCATAGACAGCCAGCTATGGTTTGGAAGAAACCCAATCCAGGAAACTAAAAATCAATATTATTTCTGTTAACTGTAAGCATATTGAAAAAACAGCTAAATAAGAAGAATAATTATATAATAGTGATACTATATGTCAAGAGACCATCAACATTTAGAAAGGAAAGGTGGTGTTTAATTCCTTTTCTAGAATTCTTCAGAAAAGCAACAAGCATTGTAGACAACAGTGTGTAGACGTACTGTACTTTATACAGTATATATTTCCATAAAACGTTTGATAATATGCCTCACAAAAGGTCTTAATACTAAAAAGCAATACAAATCCAAGATAATGTACAGTATGCATATATATATCAAGTACTGGTTAACAAGCAGGAAATGAAACAGATGTAATCAGAGGTGTGCATCAGGTATCCATTTTAGGAACTTTGCTCTGCCTGATCAATATTAATTATATAAATTCTGGCGTAATAAGTAAATTAATTCCATTTCCAGATGACACAAAAAATAGGGGACAGCAAACAGAAACAGTTAGCAAGGAAATAAGAAAGACAAAACTGTGGATTTGGTAGCACTTGGCAAGAGGAATTTTACAAGTATACATATAAGTACAAAGTCCAAAATAAGTGCAAACAGATCCATATAGGAAGTATAGACATTCACTATACGTGGCTAGGTTGCAGAATGTACAATTTAGGGATTTAAGATAATGTAGGTCTACTATTATAATGCTTAGGTATATAGCAAAAAGCATAGAATACAAATACATACTTATGCTCACGATTTTTAATGTTCTAATAAATCTTCAAACAGAATATGATATTCAGTTTTAATCAGCATACCACACAAAGGATATTGTAGCTTTAGGATTGTCATGTACAAATGCCTTAAGGAAGCTACTGTAACTTGCTTCAGCCTATAGCAAAAAACATTGAAGGGAGATTTAATCTAAAATAAAATAAATATATATTTATATATCTTTCATATAAAATCCCTGGGAGCTGTTTCACACTCAGTAGTGAAAATAACAAACTGTCACAATATGAAATTATTGTAGAATACACAGTTTTCACTGAATATTTGGATATCTGAAAGTAGCTTCTCCACTGTCACGCCCCGCACTCACCCTCGCAAACGCCATTACATTCCCAAACCCACTGCTTCATGATCTCATTCCTGACTGAACCCATCACATTCTCACAGGCACCAGATTCCACAGATTCTCTCTCCAATTGACCAATTATCCAACCATGTTCCTCTCCCTTCGCTATTTAAAGTTCCCTCACGCACCAAACCTTCCTCACTATTGAAAAGCCTCCTTTAGAGTTCTCTAGTGCGCGTTATTTTCTTGTTGGATTTCCCGGTTTTTGGACTTAACTTTTCCCTTTTCACCTCGTCTCTTGGATTTCGCCTTTTGGATTGTCTTCTCGGTTTGTCTCGGCTCTTTCTGGTTAACTGATCTCTAGCTTCTCCTATCGTCCTTGCTTCTGGATTATGATTTTGGATTGTTTGCCTCCGCATCCCACAGAGTTCACGGCTACGCACAGGATCCTCGGAGAACTACCTGCCGGACCATCAACATGGTGGTTGAGGCCTAAATCCTGGGCTATTTGAGGATACAGCTGGATGAAATATTAGCTTTACCTTCTGTAGCTACTAAAGAACCAAATGAGCAAGATGGTTTTGAGTGCCCAACTTTTAGAAAGAAAAGGATTGGCAAAAAGCATTACATTTGCATCAATAAGCTATCTAGCTTTTGTATTTATTTCTCAAAAAGCCCCCTTTGTTTTCTATTCATTAATTATGTCCTATATCTTGTAGGATCTTATGGAGCACTGAAATTATAAATCAAATTGAAAGCAGATACAAAGTAATGTACAATATCCCAGATGCCAAGTACAAAATATTAAAACCAGAGATTTTGCTGACCATCTATTGGCAAGATGCATTTCACTTTGGCAGTAACTGAAAACAGACTGAAGCAAACAAACTAACCTAAATATTTTGCTCATGCAAGCACAAAAGTACAAAGGTTTCACACTAGCCAAATCTGTGATGGCAGAAAGTACAAATAAGACATCTCGGTAAAAAAAACAATGTTGCCAACTAGTTCAAGATAGTTTACAGGGCTAAATATTTGCAGAGAGGCAGTGAACAAAGTTTAATGTACAGTAGTTCCAGACAATACATGAGACATTACATTGTCTGTGGTCAATTTAAGTGCTCATGTTACAAAGCAAGGTTTAAAATACATTTTAATAAGATAGGGCAATATATTGTAGAGTAGTTTTACAGGCCCTTGTAAATTATTGCCTAGGCACAGAACTCTTATTCAAAAAATACAAGTGAAAAAAGTAAAGCTCTATTTTTAACATTTGGTTCTCAAATGCAATAAAGTGACAGCTCACAAAATGCAAATGGAATATTACATGGAATAGAGACGACACAAAGCAACTCACCACCCAGTAGCTCCCCCTCCCCCTTAGATGAGAACGTACTGTATTTTTCACATTCACTATGGGGCAGTAAGTGCAGTGCAGTAAAATCAACTATTAGCCGAAAATGCCCACTAAAACTGTAAAAACTCAGATCACCTTTTTTCTGATACTGAAAAAAGCCATTCACACACAGCTGATATGAAAAGTGAGTCTGTACTGTATGTGCTGAAAGAGCTAACTAACTAAAGGAATTTTCCATAAAAAAATGGTAAGTTGTTTTAAACCTGCAATGCAGTGAGATTAAGTAAAAGTGCACTCTCATTCATCTGTTATTAGCACCCCAGGAATTAATTAACTAATTAGCCTACCAGAATCTCTTCAGCCAGTGGGAGAAAACCAGAGTACGCAGAGGAATCCCATGTGAACATGGGGAGAACATACGAACCCCACACAGATAGCATGCCAGGACTTGAGCCCAGGGTCCCCGCATTGCGAGACAGATATACTAACCATTATGCCACCATGTTGTTTTTTTGTATATTTGTTTGTAATTCAACTTGAACAGACATTTATGAAACTATATTGTTTAATTATATATTGCCTATATAGTGTAATTAAATTATGTACAATACTATATTTTCTGAGTCTATGCAATTACACACTGGATTAAAATGGTATGGAAAAGGACTTTTATAGTAAATCTATATATTTCATCTCACACTGTGTTTTTTGGATTTGCGTTCTATCCAGGTTAGGTTTGTCTCAGATGAACTGGTTAGCTTTACCATTGTCACAGGATGTACATTACTCACCCTTTCCTCACCTTCTTATGTTTTCAGCTTGGTTCAAGCTCTACAGGACCTGGCAAAGAGAAGCAAAGAGAAACCTCATTGTTAGATTGTTCATTGCAAAAGATAGACACTGCACGTCATCTCTCCAAGGCTTGCAAACGTAGCGTAGACAGACGCCAGAGCCTCTCATCACAATGCACAGGACCGAGGTGTTGTCTCCAGATCCCTTTCAGGGCTTGAAGTCTACGTTGGACCATTTTTAAAAAGCCAGTAAAATCCTCGTGTCTGGGAGGAGGGAGGAAATTGGTTTACCAGGGGAAAACTCACTAGTACAGAAAATATTTCTTATCTGGAACAACAAATAATACAAAGACATACGAACTTCTCTTATGTCGCCAGTGAACTTTCCTCTGGGTTAATATTAATTTAGTTGATTTATCCCATAAGTTGACCGAAGAGGTAATTCCCAAAGTTGCAGTGAAAACTAGTGCAGTTCCACAGAAGTGGGCTGACATACAGAAGCACTGTTCTCAGTCTCAGTCAGTACATAATTAGAGTTAACTGAGAGTGTGAGAAGAAGCCAGTTGAATGTATAGGAAACAATGCTCATGTTCAGCATTCCAATCCTACACATTTCAGATAGGCTGAATGTTGGCACTGTCTTCATAGCAGCCAGAAGTCAGCCTTTCCACATGCTAGGAGAGATCTGCATTAGACAGAAACTCAAGTATAATCACTGCCTCCCTCAACAGCTCTCGACAGCACGCTGTTTAAAGAGTCCACGCAAATAAACAAAAAAACCCTCTTCTCAATAATGATAATTAAAATCCTGTCAATACTGAAAATGTCAGGAAACTTAAATTACATACTGTAGGCCTGAAAAGCCCTGCAAGAAAGCAACAGTAGCAAATTAAGAATGTTTTCACCTCAGCATTTATGGCTCTTAATAAAATAGCTTCTAAAGTTTGAAATTCAGATGCTGACAGATTGAGCAACACCAAATAAAAACAAATTAAATAAAACAATATAAATATTATACTAAGGTGAAACCGGTCTTTCCAGCATAGCACAATTCCAGTGTTATTTTAATGAATACAGTCAATCTTCTTCGAGAATATTAGTGATTGTTAGCATATTTATTGGTATACTTACTTGTACTGTATCATTTACTTAATCAACTGATGAATTTATCCAAAATAATGTACATTTGTATTCATTTATAGTATACAGCTGGGTGTTTTACTAGAGCAATCTGACTCAAGGGTAGAACTTGAGTGTCCCTCCCAGGAGTTGAACTCACAACTTGCAATTTCAGAGTACAGCACAACACCTAACCCAGTCAAGCTAGCACAGTGTCGATGACATCATAAATCTGGAAACCTTTACATTACAATCAGAAGGTCAGCCAGCCATGACATATCAAAAACCAAATACAGCTTATGAATGAATTAGAGGAAAATTTCCTGATTACAGGAAATGTTAATCACTTAATCAAGTGCCCAACAAAAAATCTGTGACATTTTAAAGAATGTAAAGACCTCCCCAAGCATAAACAGCAGTTATGTCAAACAATGCTTGTTCCCTGTTTCAATATCATGTAATGTTTTTTTTAAATATCAATTATATTATATGACTGCAGCCTGCATAAAAAACAATGACAAATCTTCACTAGCAATCTCTGGAATCGGCTTCCTTCCTCATATTTAGTTCCACTCTTAATGTTATTGTTTTCATTTTAAAAAGTGGCCGTCCAAAAAAAACAATACACAAAATGGATTTTAAGATGTATCATAAACACTCAAAATTAATTGAACTCAGGTTAAATGATGTGTAGGTTTCCACACAAAATACCCACTCCTCCAATTTCACTGTATTAAAAAATTGGCATTAAAATAGCAGCAATAGTATGTTTTATTTATTTTTAACCGCCCACCACTTGTCTTGAAGTCAGGTTGTCATAAAAAAATAAAAGAGCAACTCAATCATTTCAGACATCACTGTGGAAGAGGATGGTTACATTTGGAAAAGATGACAGCATACAGACACAGAAAACATATAAAATGTTTTTTTTAACCATACGCTGAAGTAGATAATAGTCTAATTAAAAAACATTTAGATATGTTCACATGAGAATGATGTTTGATTATTTAATAGCCATCACTATAATCTAAGGCCAGTCTTGCTTCAATCAAAAACTGGTTGTTGCTGGCCTGAAATTATGTAAACATTTCTGAGTATTGTTTGTGGTCAATGAGAACTGATCTATTATGTCAGATTCTGAGAATCCAGGACATGACAAAAATTGCTCAGATAAACTAGAAACGTTTTAAAACAATTACACAGTACGTACAACGCTGAGAGTGCTTAGACAAGGATGGACTGTTTGTCTTCCATTAGCTACAGCTGTTAAATCACTGAAAACTAGGGGAATAAAACTCACCAGAAGCAGAAAGGAGACAAAGTAACATGAAATGAATCACTGCAATGAGTGCAGAGAGGTTAATTAACAAATCCTTTTACACAGTAAGGTGCACTTCAACCATAGGAAAGGAGGACATACTGTAGTGCAATGCAGCAAACATCAGGGCTAGATGCTGAAGAATATGATGTTGGTGGGTATAAAAGCTAAAGATAATGAGAAAAACAGAAAGAAGTGAGAATAGTAGTGACATACTGAAAGGGAATGCCTTGTACAGGTGTATATATATTTTAAAGGAAAAGTTATAATGTAGGAGCATAAAATGGGAGTGAATTGTGAAATATAAGGGTCTAGGAAGCCCAAAGAAAACTGTTTTAAAGGCATAATGTATAGAAGGGAAAGAAAATAAACCATAAAAACAACAAAGTTAAAAATGCAAGAGGTGTGAAGATGCAGAAAACAGAGAGAGAGGGATGGACAGAAAATATTCAGTAACTTATGAAAATTAATAAAACGATGAGGTAGGAAACTAGAGCAACAATGAAATTCATGTGGTTGAAATGTCAGTGTCAATGTCATTCATTAGAGCCAGAAAATTAGAGTTGTATGTTACTGGACACTAGCACAGAGAAAGCTCTTAATTCAACTGGCTCTCTAATTGTAATTAGAGAAAGGAAGACACAATTTAGAAAGTTTTTTATCATATTTTTTTCCTTATATACAACATAAACCCAAGCATGGTTATTATGTCCAGAGCTTGCTTAGCAAGAACAGTACAGTAATGGACAAAATGTATTGTTAACGAATTAATACATGCCCACAGTCCATTCCCCAGAGGCTTAAATGATGAGACTGGTAACGCGTGACAGTACAGCTCACCACCTCCATCGTTCCCCTGTCATTAGACCTCTGTCCACCCACTTCTGGGTCATCAATACATACCCTGCAGTTTATTCAGCTCTTTTTAACAAGATCTTTGTACTTCTCTCACATCAAACTATTTCACAACAAGAGTCTCCAAAATCAACAGAGGTGGGAATTCCAATACAAACTGCAATCAATTGCGTATGTCAAGTTGAAAGTGGAACATGAAACTTTTTTGCTTTTCACTGCTTGTGGTACGATACTGTTATATTTTCATAAGCCATTTGGGTAAAGATGTTCACAAGCCAGGTTCTCTAAATACAGTACCAGAAATGCTTATTATATAATAGCATGAGAAGAGAAAACTTACGGAAGCTCCATTCTCTGCAGAATACATGAACACAAGAAACCTCTATTTCTGGGATGAAGTACTATTTACACAGACACCACAGTGATTTATTTCTTGTGCTACTGAAACAATAATTTGAGAATCACCTTTATAAGCAGGAGGTTCTAAAAATACAACCTCAAAGCCCATATTTCCTACAAAAAAAATTATCGATCAAATATCTCAATTCAGCTTATAAAAAAGTGTAACAAGTGTTTTTTTTTAAGAATGGTACAATCAACATCCTGCAGAAAAGATGCATAGTAAAGCCCTTTCCACACACAGTGGCTTCAAAAAGGAAACCAAAATACTTGCTGTATCTCTCTCACATTTAACATGTACCAGTCTTAGAGGTGGCAGAGGACGAAAACAATTAAACCAAGTAAGGATATCAACTTGTAAAACCCCACAATTTGTATGCCATCTTTCAATTTATAATATTATCATAGTAGTTTAAAGCCCAGATGTTTATCCAATAATAAGCAGAAGGAATTATAACAGTAACAGTAACAGTTGCAAAAATATAGGAATGTACAAGACCTCACAACATCCCTATGTAGTGACAAAGACTAAAACCCAACTGGATTTTGTATGAGCTGCAGAAGATAATCATTTTCCTACCACTTTATACAAGTAAATAGAGCAAGAGAAATAGTCCTCACATGCAGTAAGGTCCCTGGAAGAAGTCACACACTTCGTAGACAAAAAAAAGACTTTAATAAAATCACTAATTTAATCCTCTCCATAGACCTTGTAGCTCAAAAAGACTGCTGTTGGCTAGTAACAATTTTAAGTAAAGGTAAGGCTACCCACTCTGCAGGTTAATCCAATGGCTCTCTGCCTTGTAAAGTGATAGTATGGTTATCTGACACTGATCTCCTCCTGGGAATGCTAGTAAACTATTCAAGGAGCTGTTGAATAATAAAGGATTACAAAGAAAAACCATCTTGCATGTGTCCAGGTATGTGTCTCAGATCATTTTTCATATTAAAGCCATTAATCATCTGTAATAAGAAAATATGTGTTTTTAAAAGGTGTACAACTGTCTTAGCAAGCAAAACAATAATGAATAACAATAATAATACTCTTATAAGGTTATTTCTACCATGACACAAAAATGAATATTTATTGTCACAATGAAAAGCCTTGTAAATCCTGTACTTATGAAGCTAGAAGATGGCAAATCCTTCATTTAAAATGACCTTTCATTTACAGTATATGTACTGTAGGTCTGCCTTCTAGACAGTGTCCATAGCCCAGACATCCCATGTGAAATAAATCATAGCCTGAAGAAAAACCCTGAAAATGGATACATGTATTATACTGTATCTATCCATAATAACTGGTTTGATGTAAAAAAGATAACTGTATACTTTCCAGTTTACATCATGAGACGTTT